CTGCTTTCATTAACTTATGACCCGTTTTGACTCGTTACTCATTTTAACCCGATTCTAACCCAACCTAACCCAACTCAACCCGCCTGTTTGCCAAGTCTACTTAAGAGTCAAAAGGATTTGGAAAGAAGCGTTAGTCACTAAAGCTAAATGTAGCAAAATCAACATTACCCTTTGCTCACAAGAAATTAACCTCTTATATCCTTCTTTCATTCAATCTTCATATCATGATACTTAAGTTTAAGATTTCTTATATCTCTTCTTTTATTCGACTTATATATCATGTAACTTAAATTTTGAATCTTTTTCACAGCAAACAAAATAAACCATAAAGCCACTCTACTTAAGTTCCAAAAAGAATAGAGGTTATTTATTGCAAGCTAGAGTATTAGAGCCTATTTGGTGTGGCTTGTGAGAGTTTTTGCTTTTTGAGTACTGTTATGAGAGATAAGTTTAAATTTTTATTGGAGGAAAAATAGAGTTTTAGCTTTTAGAAATGTGAAAAAGTGAGTGAAAAATAAGTAAAAATAGAGTTTATGAAAAGTTTGGATTTGAAACTTTTGAATTTTTATTATTTAAGAGCTTTTTGAGGTTTAAAAAAAAAATTTAAAAGTGTGAGTTTTTAAGAGGAAAATTTAAATTCATGAAACATGAATAGTATCCAAAAGCTGAAGTTCTTAGGAGTTGATTCAAACAGGCCCTTAATACCACTTTAAAATGTAGCATTTTTACATTTTTATCTTTTTTGTTTTTTTTTTTTTTATTAATCTCCCGATATCTGATAATCACATTAGATCTTGACTAACCCGGAATTAAGCCACGTCGGACCTCATTAGAGGGGAAGTTCTTCCAATACCTGTTTTTCCATTCACAAGACTCTAACTCGAGACCTGGGTTCCTCTCGAAACCCAGCTCTGGGTTTGTGAGAAACCCAGTTCTGGGTTCCTTTGAAACCCAGTGCTGGGTTTGCGAGGAACCCAGTTTTGGGTTCCTTTGAAACCCAGTGCTGGGTTTCGAGAGGAACCCAGACCTGGGTTCCTCTCGAAACCCAGCATTGGGTCTGCGCGGAACCCAGCTGGCTTGGATCAAAACGGGGAGGACGGGGAGGACCA